CAGAAAATGGCCGTGGGTCCCGCCGGGGTCCCGGAGGACGCAAGCGGGGCCTGCTCTGGCCGCCTTCCCCCATCCCAGCGCCCCCCCGCCATCCAGGTTCGCCTCCTGTTCCGCCTGCTTAAGGGATACCGTACAGCCAGGAATAACAGAACCTTGTCCGAGTAACAGTGACAAGGAATCCAACAGCATGAAAACAGAACGGAGGAAAAGCTAATCGGCCGGTATAGAAAGCACATTAAAAGGGAGGCTAGACGTGGGTTAAAAATCCAACCCAGTCACAAAAGGGTGTTACCAGGTTAAAAAGGATGAATGAAGGGGCCCGAGAAAGATGCAGAAAACATCCAGGCCGAGTCGAGCTGTCCTTCAAACTCCTCCTCAAATTCTTGCTACTTCTATTCATCAAAGCTTCTGGCTGAGACACTCGCAGTGGATATATGGAGAAGACGTGGATGGCTGGAGTTTAAGCGCTGTCAGAGCGGGTTTAGCTGCCCACAGCAAATGAATGCAGGGCAAGAGATTAAGATGGAACTGTTTTGCCCTGCTCAGACTGAGTGTGCACCAAATACATTGCATGAACTGTCTTCAGTAGGTTGGTTTCTTCCCCCTATATGGAGCAGTGAGTGACTCACGGCGCAAACTTATTTGCGTATGACCAGGCTTTTCAACTGTGAAATGCAGTTCATCAGCAAAGATGCTCAGAGGCTTTGTGTGAGTTTATTAAATCAGGAAATCAGGAGACAGGGATAGGTGGTATGTGAAGATGATCTGGGGAACTTAAAATACAGACAAGGCTACAGTAATTTTTCCCTTCAGAGCTGGATTTTGAGGCTGGTTTTTTTTTAATATAAAAGTTTAAACAGAACAAGCATTCATATTTCAGTCCCAGGATGCTTTATATCTCAGAAATCTCTTTATCCCCTGGCCACAGAAGTGTTTTGCAACTCTAAAGCAACTAGAATGCTGTTTCAACAATAACAACGCGAAAGTATATGTCTGATTGCATACCCTGTAGTCATGGATGTAATATACTGTACCTGTGAAGTACGTTGGGTTGCGATAAAAATCAGAATCCTTTTTGCAATGTAGTCTTGCATCTATTTCCCACCTTAGCCTTAAAAGAAATCAGGTCATCTCATCTGCACAGAACATAACAAACAAGACTTAACTGGGACAAGACATCCTTTCCTCAAGCTATAATCAGCAAGTGCCTCAAGCATCTGGCTGGAAGTCCTCTCTTACAGGCACAAAGCTCCTCAGTTTCAGCTTGTTTTTGTGTTTGTCCTAATGATACAGTGCAAAGTGCTATTCTGAAATGGAAAACAAGGCGACCTGTTGCCTCATATGAAGTTTCTATACCTTTTATCTGAGTTGCCCCTTCTGGCACATGATGTTTCTTTTGGCTCTTGAGGCAAAGCAGATGATCTGAAACACCTGAGGCTGTCAGCCCTCAGTCTGCTTCTTGCTGATGGCTTGCTGGTGAGGGTTTGCCAGGTTTCATTGCAGACGCTAGGCTTCAAAATGATTGCAACACTTAGGAAAAAAGTTATTGACAGCCTGAAATGAGGGAAGCTTCTGGCATCTTCTCATAGCAGCGACCTCCAACACCAAAACCTGGCCATGCAAACCCAACACGCCACTTCAGGTGGCACAACTGCGGAGGATTTGGTATGAAGTGTATTACTGCACCTTCAGTTACAAACAGAACACTACCCTCCCTATTTGGGAACCTTTCCTGAATTCACTCACTGAACGTCCTTAAAAATATAACCAAGATTGACATTTAAAATGAAATATAAATAAGCAAGCTGGCAGGAAACAGAAGACCCAAAAAAGGTTTAAACTACCATCATCAAACTTATTTCCTAGGTCTTGAACCTAATAAATGATGCTGCCTCTCAGCATAGGATCTTCAAATCAGCCTGCAGGAAGGCTGGAAATGCAGTTTGACCCCAGGTGTTCAGGAAGTTAACACACTAGATGACATTGGCGCTTCTAGCTTGAGGAAACAGAAATTGCCTTCTCCTGTTTTTATTCCTAACTTTTAATACATTCTGCACAGATCAATATAAATAGGCTAATCCCTGTTTTTATACATATGTAGCACATAGCTTACATTACTGCTCTATTTTTAAATAAGCAAAAACTTCTGATTTATAATCTGTAGTCAATGAAGAGTCTTAAGACTTTTAAATGTCATAGCTGATGCAAGTATCCTTTATTTCATATACATCTTAGTGCAATCTCTGCTTTTAATATTTAAGAGACACCATACCCAATCATTCATGACAAGTCTGGTTAAAGTGCAGTTCCCCTCATTTTTGAGAATGTCAGGCATTTGCTGCAGCAGCACTGAACACCGGATTCTCCAATTTGTATCCTTGCTTACTTTGCTGCTTGCAAGTTCCAACAATACTTTAAATGAATCTGAATGCCATTTCTGTGTATTTAAAAATGTAGTAAAACAGAAGAAAATGGGTCAGTGACATTTTGCCAGCCAGGAGGTTTCTCCTGCTCAGAAAGGTAATGAGATATCACCTCTCCATATCAATTTTCTGCTGGCTTAGGTTTTCAGACCTTAGGATAGAAACTCATGCCATTTCACTGATCTTTCAGGAAAAGAGAAGCAAAACGGCATTTTTTTTTTAAAGTGATAATTCCCTTTCTATTCCTAACAAAGAAAAAGGTAACTATAAATTCACAAAACAGCTACAAGAAACCAATTATTAATGACAAGAAGTCCATGTAAAAGCATTTTGAGTAATTACAAAGAGAGAAATAATCCAAAAACAAAGTGAAAATAATAAGGTTTGTGGGAGGAGGGGAAAAAATTATATGAAGTGGAAAAATGCAAGTAAACAGAAACTGTAAAAGGGAGAAAAACTAGGAGACCTGGAAGAAAACATCCACAAAATGGCACTGCACAAAAAAAGTGAGCAAGAGTCATAATGTGGCCAAAAACCAGACCAATGAAGTCTGCAAGAATTTCACAGAGGAGAAAGTTACTATTTCCCCTCTCTGGGGTCTGGCTATTGCTTCAGAACACGATTTCAGTTTTTGATTGTTGTTCCCGCCAGAATGTTTGTATTAGATTTGGCTCAGCTGATCAGAACAAATGCCATCAACTTCATAACATAATGATAATTATAAAGGCATGCCTCAAATACCCAAACATACACGTTTACAAACACAGGTACAGGACTGAATGGTAGAAGGTTTTCAAGGACATAAGTCTTTGGCACTTTCAAACATCTCCTATCTGATTTTCTTTTAAGGTTGAGCCAGCATTAAAAGAGGTGTATATATCACAAAAACTTCACACACTTCAAATACACAAAGTAACGCAAATATTTATACACTATTCCGAAAGTTTAAGCTACACCGAGAACTGACCTTGCAGTTTAAATAAATCTTTGAACATTGTGTTTTAATATACTATACAGTATCTTACAACCAAATATAACCTTTATTTAAAAGTACTTGTAGTTTAAATGGATTTAACAGCAAAACTTGACATTTGTTAGTTACAAAATGATAGAGAAGCTCTGTATGATGTGTCATACATATCACAATTTATGTATTTTTTAACCACATTCTTGCAGAATCTTATAATATAAAGAAGAGTCTGCTCCAACTCTGCATTTTTTGACATTGACTCATTAAAATTAATGAATTCTTTGAATGAATTCCCTAGGAATGGTGTTTGCACCACAAAACAGACAACTCTGGAATTACTTTCAGTGTTTTTTAAAACCTATTGCAGTGTGCAACCAGCAAAGATGTGCACAGGCAGCTGGATTACGAAAGGAATATAAACCCCAGTATTTACACCAGTTAAAAATAACTTTGTTTTTTAGAATGTGCAGCTAACTTACTAGCAAATCACCTTTTGAAAAGCACAGGCAAATGAGGACAGGTTTAGAATAACATCTATTCTTTTTACTAGAGATTTTTCATATATATGATCTATTAAGTTTATAACATTGTTTTACAATATTGTAATATTAAGTTTGTAAGATCTTGCTATTTGCCTTCTGCTACCAACAGTGAAGCTGGGTATTTTATAACAGAAATAACATTCAGTTCTTCAAATTCAGTGCACCTTATCAAATCAGTACCTACCAAGTTATTTTTAAAATTCCCACACAGAAGAATATGAAAAACATTAATTAAAGTGACTGTAACATGCCTTTAAAATTGTGTTACCACTTTCAAAAAAAAAAAAGAAGGAAGAACCAATTTTTATTTTACATATCATCTGAGCTCATATTTGTTCATGCAGCAGCTGTGCAGGTGAAAAATATTCTTGAACAATCTTGTGTAACTTATAAATTGTTTTTCCACCTGAAGCTGGGAGACGACTCATGTACTGTTCAGAAAAAAAAGATGAAATTAGTCAGAAACTAACATTGAGATGCTATATATAAACATTCGACTATCTCACAATTAACCGGTACATACATAGGCATGTCTAGACATCCCATTTTATAATTAAAACTACTGGAGTACTTCAGGCCAGTGTTGAGTTTTAATGGAAGGTGATAAACATTAACTGTTTCACCATGGAACCTAGCAATATAAAGAACAATTAATAAAAAGGGTTTAGTAATCTTACAGTTAAAGTTCAGAACATAAAAATTTCTAGATGTTAACAAAACTGAGGTAGCAGAGCACTTGTTGCATTTTCTGAAATTCATGAACTTCAGAGAAAAACATGATTTGTCCTGCTAAACTAAGAACAGTCAAATTATTTTATCTCTTCATCAGATATGTCTTAAAAATGTGAAACAATGCCAAGATATTTATATCCCAACATGTGAAAAAGCTTAAATGCGCATATTGTGCCATGCTTCTGTATACAAGACATTATTTTCCTGTGTTAAGTAAGAAAAGAAAATCTATACAGGCAGTACAACTCCTAATTCAAGTCATAAATCTTACACACCAACATCAGCTGCAACTCCCAGAATAAAGTGGAGTAATGACTGCAGCAGATCGCATATGGCCATAATTTGCAGTAACTCTCTTGTAAGGTTGTAATATGCCTGTCACATTCACTACCAATACTGACAATATGTTCCTTTAGAAAAATATTTGGTGAAAATTAAGCAGAGAATGTTACAACTGCAACTCAAGTCTTCCGTAATGGGAACAGAACTTGAAACGCTGCAGCTCAGACTATGTGGAAAGGACATTGTCTCAAAACCAAGTGTCACGAGCACACAAACATTTGTGTGCTGCATGTTCAGAACCAACAGAATCAATTTTCCTTAACAGCTGTCCTTAATTTGAACTGAAATACTAGTGAAGGTCATGTGATATAAGTGTTTATCACGGATCTGGGTCTGAGCCTGTATTTAAAAATTTTGCAGCTGTTGCCATACTGCAGAGATCAGCACAGAAACGCCCAAAGTGTTCTTATGAGGTTACTCTCCTTCGCTGTGAGCACAAATTAGACTGAAAACCAAAATATTTTGAAGGGCACTTCTTGTGCTTAGTGAAAATCAGCAGCACAGAGCTGAATCAAGGCGCTCCAACTGCAGTAGAAGAATCACAACGATTCTTCATTTGTATCTCCTCTAGCTATTTAAACTTCCTAATAACTGCAAGCAGTTGCTACTGTGTGAACAGATACCTGACTGAAACTCTGTATCTGCTGTCTCTTTAAAATCCAAAGGTGATTTCTGAGGAAAACCGTGCTATTTTTGTCCCTTAAGCATGAAAAGGGTGTTTTGGAAAACAAAGCAAGCAAAAAAACCCCCCACTCCGAAACAATGACAACCATTCTAAATGAGAAAAACCCCACATCTGGATTAAGAGATGAAAGTCACCACCTTACTCAAATTCCTGGACATTTAAGATGCATACATACATACTTTGGAGGACTGCAAGTCTACCTTTAAAGAGAAAATTAATTTATCCACTACTTAATCTAAATAGAAAATGTTGTTGCTTGAGCTACTTTGGCAGTGGAAGGAAAGGACAGTCAATAGCATCTGATACCCCAGAGGAATCTTTTGGAGTCAAACTGCAGAAACATGTAGGTCAATAACGTATGTTAACAACCAAGAACTGAGATCACATTTAAAAGGTGGTGCAGTAAGAATCATGCTGCTAAGCTTCCATGGCATTCTGCAAAAAAATATGTATAAAGACATCATTTTCTGAACTTCGGTAACGACCGTCCGTATTTGTGTGACTCTAGTCTATTTTCTTTGAATAAAAAGCAGGTCATTACTATTACAAAAATTTTGGCAATTGTTCAAACAATTAGTACCCAATAGCCAATCATTAAAATACTCAGAAGGTCTAAGTTGGAAAAAATACACTAATTTCTTGTTGATTCAGGTTGGTAAATGCTGAAAATCTGAAGCATTTGTAAATGCTCATGTAATCAATTTGCTTAGAAATAGGCAGTCCTAGGGGCAGTTATGTAATGTACCCAGAGAAATATTTTTCTTAGCTTCTTGGTGAATAATGCTTCCACATATGCATGCCATTACAGAAATGGAATACTTTACCTTGTTCACTAAAAGTAAAGGCACAGTGTAAAAGCAGTAAACTAAATACAGTTGCTCTGCTTAAGTATTGTACTAATCAGAAATTGCACGAATTTACATTGTGTGATTTTAACCATCTCTGCAATAACTCACATTTAGGAAAGGCTGAAAAGCAAAATTTAATCCCATAAAATGCTATGTACATGCATATTTAGGTATGAATTTCAGAAAACACACAACGGTGAAAATGCTAGCAACAGGAATGTACTCCATGGCATGTTCTAAATAAAAATTTAAAGGTATATGCGTTACATTGATCTGTGGTCCAGGCATGTCACAAATACATTATAAAATATTTTCTAGAAGTTTGGCAATACTGTATAACCATAGGCTTTTTGTATACGATTCTGCATCAAATTGTCTGAAGGACAGCTATCACAACTAATTGCAGGTTTCCCCACCCCCTGCATGAAAATAATACACTAAAACATAATAAAAAACAGTACATAGAAAATAAAAATGCTAATTACATTCCTTCCACCCCTCCTCCCACAACTTACAAACTTTTCCTTCTTTTTCCAACTTCTTCAAGTGGACTAGGAGGTTATTTTCTGCCGCTCGAAGTAAATTGTCAGGGATCTCCTAATGGGAACACAAAAACCTATTTTGTACTTGTTTAAATATTTCCCGATTATTTTTGCAATATACAGAATTCATGATTTATTAACATAAATTTTCTTCTTCAGAAATGCTAAGGTAAACATTCAGTTAGTCATATAATGACAAAACCCCAAAATCAGTATATCAATTTTACACCAGTCAAACTAATAGCCTAATAACACATTTTTGTTTACTTTGCTCATTTTTTGCATAATCCTTTTGTATTATGCAAGCTTTGGCCAGCACTAAGAAGACAGTGCTCTTCTGAGCTTGGTCTGCACTGGGTCATCAGTGTAGCAGAGCATTTTTAAAGATAAATTTAAAGATGTGTTTCTCCACAGATACCTATCAAGTCTATTCCATGACAACACTTCCACAGATTTAAATATATCCTTTAACAACCAATATCTGTAAATTGAGTAAACAATTTAAAAATACAGCAGATTAAGGAGCAGAAAACATATTTCAAAATTTTCCAATGCTTGTAAGTTAAAAACCAGTAACATTTCTCAAAATTCCCCTTTCCAGCTCATTCTAAAAGTAAATTCTTCTTTTTGAAAATGGAAAAGCTCTTCTGGCAGGAAAATTCACTAGAAAACTATCTCAACAAATCGTGCATCTTTGAAAAGCTTTAAAGGATTACACTTCCTTTATTTAAGCTTTCGTAGTACTGAAAAAAATCTTTTCACATGGTGACAGGTCAAGTGAACGGCTGTATCCTTAAAAACTGTAGTTGTTCAGGCAGGTAAACCGCAGGAACTAAACAGCCACAGGTAACAACAGTACATCAGCACTGCAAAATTTCCGTGCAACATAGTCATTCTTTTGGAAACTAGGGAATCGACAGAACCATGAAAAATGAGTTCTTAAGCTGTTCCAGAGCTGTTCACAAACCACAGCCATTGGCAACTTCGACATCTCCTCCCGAAGCAAATGCTGCCTTTCACCTCTACTTGAGAGGAGGCGTAACTCCCACACCACATGTACAAATTACCGAGGTTACATGAAGAATGACGAAATAGTGAAACAGTACTCTTAAGCCCAGCTAATGACACACATGAGATAGAAACACAGAAACATCAAGGTTAGAAAGGACCTTACGAACATCAAGTCCAACCTACAGCCCTACACCACCCTAACACTGAACCGTCTCCTCAAGTGCCACATCCAGCTGCGGATGCCCAGCTTCTGAGTGCAATACCCATCGCTGCAGATCTGCACTTCACTCAAACCCTCCTGCAGAGCGATCAGTCAGGAAGTAGAAGTTTCAGCCAATCTTTCAGAAGGCTCCAAACACACTTTGGCAAATCAACAACTAACAGTCATCTCATACTTTTTGCTTAGAACCAAGCACTACAACTTAATTTTTGCATGGTCCTATGAAATTGTGCTTAGGACCATCTAGACAGTGAAATACAAAGTTTGTAAGAGTCAGCTGGGCCCCACGCCGAAGAATGCTTGAACAATACAATTTCAGTTAACAGTAATATGTGAATTCTGAGCAAGAAATCTTTTTTTTTTCTTTAGAAAAGCCACTACATTCTTCACTCAAATATTTAAACTGTTATATACAATTTTATGAACATAACAATTTTCTTTAGTTTGATCTAAAAACTTCTAATCAACAATTACCTTGTATACCATCTTTACAAGCTCTGAAGATGTATATGATTTTCCAGCATTCTTTTGGAAAACATTTAGAATTTGCTGTTCACGTGCAATTCGGTGAGATATGTAGCCTTGGATTCTGGCATTTGCATCACGTACTACAGGGCCGTGACCTAAATCAAAACACATGTACCAGAGAACTATTACTTAAATTTGGAATTAAATATGCTCCTGAATAATTGAATCATTTTAATGTAAACTCTGGGAGATGTAAAAGTCCTAAGTAGGAAGCAGCACCTGTATGTATCACCCTGTCAGAGTATTCCTGATGCTAAATTGTAAGAAAGACGCTCTTTGCACGTTGGGTTTCTTTTTTAGGTGTGTTTGTATGGTTTTTTTTCCTATACAAACGGCCCCAAATTAAGTTTGAATATCTGCATCACAGTCTGCAGTCGAAAAGTGTTAAGGTAGAAAAGAAGAATTAGGATCTGAAAAGTCTGAATGGGGAAAGGCAATACTTTGGACAGAATAAAGAAGCGAAAGAATACTACTTCAGCCTACCAAAAAAAAAAAGAAAGACAGGAGTTCACTGCTGAACGGATTTTGAAGAAGTGATTCAGATTATTATACTACCTCATGATATACTAAAATGACAGATGAAAGGAAAACATTTTTCAGATGGAAGAGTTACATGCACAGAAATTAAACTTAATTAAATTTTAGCTACAGAGACCTACCTACTTGCATGAATATGTCACATGTGGTTTACAGCAAGGCTTCCTATTTCTTTGCCTCTATACCTCACCTGAAGTAGCAGCAGCAACGTCCAGCCCTGCCAAGTAATTTATAAACTGAATAGAACAGAAACTACTGTAAAAATGATAGCTTTCTTTTAGAAATTATCGTGTATCATCCAAGTCAAACAGAATTCTGTGATTCCTTTTAAGGTTCTCTCAAAAGAAAATTGTATTTAAAAAACCCACATAATATTCTTTACTTGTACTTATGGGTTAATTGACTAAATGGATTTTTAGTTTAAAGGCTTATTAAATTAGAATTTATTTTGCTGAAGGACTGGCAGCTTACAGAAAAAAAGAGCAACTATTTTTTCATGTTCTGAATGTCTTTGAAATAAAAAAGTGTCAAAGGACTCTATCCTTCCGCAAGTTAAAATAATTATGCATATCTGAACTTATGCACTCATTTCAGCAGATCTGAAATTACTAAAGATACATTGAAGCTTACCTTGTATAAAATATTATAAATAAAAGACATGTAATATGTAAATATAAAACTTTACTATCATATGCACATATATTTAATGATTTAAAATTTATTTAATCTGGACCTATTGTTCCTCACAAAACAAATTACAAATTACAAATTAATCTAGTAAATATGCTACCATTTCTAAAAATGAAAGTTTAAATTTAGAATAAAACCTCATTAAGATATACAGAGCCAATGTTACATTAAAGTATTCAGAATTAAGGCCTGCACATGGAATCACAAGGCAGTTTAAAGACCAGAAAATAGTCCCTCCTCTTCAAAGTGATTTAACTGACTTAGACTAAAGACCAATGTCTGTTCCTGGAACGGAACCCACATTTTGAGAAGTTTAAGGCATTTATCATATCTCATACCACCCTGTGAAGATTCTCTTACTTTACAGTAAATTAAATCACAAGAAAATAACTGACTCATGAAATCTTGCATAGATTCGAAATTCCAGTACCACTTTTTTACTGTATTATCAAGGAACATCGCTATATTATTGCAGGGTGTGGAGCCCTCTGCTGACTAAACTGCTGTTTTCTGGTTCCAAGGACTTTCATCAACTGCTGCCTGTAAATAGACTGTCATGAGCATTCTGCCTGATGTCATTTCCACATTAAATTAAATAAAAAAACATGGAAGGGGAAGGATTAGCAAAATTCAGCTGCTCACACCTAGACAGCAGTCAGCTTGCTACAAAAATTCATACTGCTCTACATCTAATTCTGAGGCTGCAACAAGAGCACTAAAGCACGGATGGGGAACAGAGAAACAGTTCAAGAATTATGAAGACCTGAAATTGCAATAAAGTCAAAGTACTGAGCTTATATAGAATGTATTGGTAAACAAACAACCCTCTGCTATAGTTATAATTTTATGTAGTACATACTAAAAGTATAAAAAACTGTTCTTGTCAGGGGATAGTTACTTCTTGCACAATTGCACATACATTTTGTAGCACATGGACAAAACCTCAAAAGTTAGTTCCAAATCATCTCAATACTTAGCTGCTAATAATGAAAAATGCATAATATCCAACTGGCTTCATATTTACAAGTACAGCATGAACATACAGTAGTGCAGAAAACAGTTACAGATAAATGGGACAACCATTCAAGCTTGATGAATGTGTAATCTAGATAAATAATGATTAAGGAGAGAGTGAAACACAACAGATAAAATTGATAAAACAAATAGAGTAGAACGGGCTTTTGGGAGGCAGAAATTCAATTAGAGGAACGGACTGTGTTTTGTAGGTATTTAAGAAAGTAAAAAAATTGATTGATCAATTGATTGAGATTCTGGAGGTTAAAATATTCTTAGTTTTACCAGTAGTTAAGTCAACAAGTATTGAGCAGTCGCTGCTTCTGTCTAGGTCAGCCCCCATATCCATGGAATATCTATAACGATATCTTTCTTAAATAGAATTTTTATGCTTAGATCTTAAAGCACTTACAGAACACCGACTTCAAAAGAGGAGTATTTTAAGACTGAGCACAAAAGAGATTCGGTTACGTAGGCTAAACACAGATGGTTAATGGAGGAAGACAGAATTGAGAATGTAGACATAGTTGCTCAGAATGACAAGTTGCAGAAGATGAAACAGAGAGAGTCATTAAAAATCCTGAAAGGTAGCTCTGAAAAAGCAAATGAGGAGCTTAAGCCTTAGTTACATAATGAATTCTTAAAATCCAGTCTTGTCAAATAGACACCTGGTTTGTATGAAAATGCATTCCCAAGGTTTGGGGGAGATAGAAGAACAAAAACAAATCAAAGCCATGGACTGAATGAACTGGCAACTTATTTTTAGAACATGATGTTTGGCCTCTTGGCTCCTGTTCAAATGTAAGCCAACTCATTAACTAAGACAATTATTTGACAATTCCAGATTCCCAACATGAATTGGTAATGAATCTGTGCTGCAGAGGACAGGCATCTCTCTCAAAAAACATTACCAGGTTACTCATATTAGCAGCGTATGTGGGGATGCAAAGAACCAAAGGAACAACTATAATTTTTGTTTCCAGGGTAACGTTACAGCACACAGATAGAGTAGCGTAAGGAAACCAAACTTGCTGCATGATTCCAACAGCAAAAAGTTCTGGCCTGTGTACGCTTTGGGCACAGAAGCACAAGATTCACCCTCAAGCAGAGAAGCAAAGATATCTATCACTGAAAGATTTTTTTCAAGTGTTGCAAATCACCATGCCATAAAGTCATCTTAGCTTAGTGCTAGACATATTATTAAGTAATGAACTTGAATTGTTGCGTTAGTAACGGTGTTTGATTGCAATAAGAGTTCTCTAATTCTAAGAGGAGATATTTATGAACTATATAGTAAAACAGAGCAGTTGAAAGCAGAATCATCTACCTGGATATATTAAAGCCAGTTTCATTTGTAACAACCTTTTCAAAGTAATCATGTAATCATGCAGGTCTTCAATTACTGTTGTTCCTTCCCCTAAAATGCAGTCACCAGAAAACACAGCATTTTCTTCTTCTAGATGTAAAGCCATATGATCATCAGTGTGTCCAGGTGTATATAAAACTCTGTTTAAAGAACAGCAATAAAGAAGCCTAAGTTTTTTCCATACAGCACATACGCTTCATTTTCAGAAGCTAGAAACAAGTAATGATAAAATTACGAAGTAACCCACAAAAACAAGCAGAGAAAAATAGACCAAAAAAGGCTGAAATGTCAATATAAACAGAGTATCCCAGTCCATTTGCATATACCATGCAGAAAACACAGATCATCATTATCTCTAACATTCTTTTACTTAAATGAGACATCATAATAAAAGTGCATTAAGGGAGCTGGCTAGTAATGTAGAATTCATGATGTAGAGGGCTTTACTCTGAAGATTTCAAAAAAGAATAAATGTGCTATCTTCAGACTGAAATGTGCGACACTCTTGACAACCACCTTGCACTTAGTGAAAAAAGGCAAGGAGGATGTCATCAATTCTTTTAGAAATTAACTATAAACTTCTGGACCTAACTCAGTGTCCTGGTTACAATTCTGTTTAGTGATTTTTACATTCCAGCTTAGTCTCTTCTAAAAGGCTGTACTCTCTGAAGTTAGCAGCATGTTTTTGCAGACAGTGTGTGCTACTGGCAGTGATAACACCTGATGTTCACAGTTACTGCCTGGCACTGGGATGCAGAAAGGCTCTGGCTGATACTTATTCCTATAGTGACCAAGGCCACTGCTGGCTCTTGTCTGTCACGCTGGGGGTGCTGGGTAGTAAGAGGGGTCACAAGGAAGTAAAAGGTTGCACCTCCAAGGGGTCATAGACAGGACAGGTGACCAACGAGAGTATTCCATTCCATATACATCATATTTAGTATAAATTGAGTGATCACGAGAGTTTCTGCCCTTTTCTGCAATGGCCAGTGTCCAGGGAGAACTCTGTCCGACCTCCTGCTTTTGATCCGGATCCTGAGTTCCCGAATCCAGCTCCTGTATCCAGCTCCTGAGAGCTGCTGAGCCTGGGGCTTCCCCAGTGCTGCCTGCTCTGCAGCATCAGTGGGGATTGATATCGGGGGGGGGTAGTCAGGTTCAGTATCGGGATTATATATGGTTGTATATAGTTCTTTATTTT